AAGTTGGAAGCTAAAATGTGCTTTAGAAAGAGTAATATGACAGAGATACATAAAGTATCATGAATAAATTGGGGATGGCAGTGAGGACACTACAGCATTAATCCAGGTCTGTAGTGATGAAGGCTGAGCCAGTCCAGTGATAAGAGGAGTGGAATAATTTTTAAAGTACTTACTCTGCTTGATGGGTATGGCTGTAGTTTTAGAAATAGTAAAAGCATTTTATAGTTAACCAGCCAATGTGTTAAAAGGGAGGTGTAACTGCCATGCTACAGTAAAGAAGGAACAAAGCTGTGCAGGGTGAGGATGAGGGATGATCAGCTCAGCTAGCCAAAACCGCTGTTTCTTCCCGGCTGTCCCATAAAGCAGAAAACAAACATAGCCTCCTTCCACTAACTCTAAGTCCAGAGTTGAGGCAAATAACAGAAATGTGAGTGATTTGTTTTCCTTTTAATCTTAAGACTCACTGTCCAGAGAGACTGCTTGCAAACATTTTATTCATTTTCATCTACTGCCACCTAGTGTAGATAGAAAATTATTTACCTATGAAAATACAATCTAGTTGCACCATCTGAAATTGAAATTGCTCAAGAAATCCAAATCACATAGAGTCAGCACATGTCATAAAAAAATCCTTGACCTACAAGTTGGGAAACAAGTTCTGATGTGATTAACAGTATTTTACTGCATTGTGGCATAAGTTGCTTCCACATAAGTTAAATAGAGCTAGAAGTTCTTACTAAGTAAACATTTATAGTCCTTTCTATAAAGAAAATATGATGAGGGCATGATATATTAAATTCTTTGCTAGCTAACTTCCAGGAATACTAACAGTATCTTGTAGCTCCTAATATTTATTAAAGGGAAGGATATGTTAATAATTAGGGGTGCCTTGAAATGAAGTGGCTGCCTATGAGAGGCCAAGGTCTCCATGGCTGAACAAGGGTGTATAACTGGGACTAATGAAGGAGGTAAAGGTTAGCCTGTATGACCTCAAAGGTACCATTTCACATTCCCCTCTGAGGTTCTCTGTGTCCATGATATTGAGGATTCCATGAACATAAAAGCTCTACCAATAAATTCCATAAGCCTTCACTAGATTACAAGCTTCTGAAGGGCAAATAGTATGCCCATCTTGTTCATTGCTACATACTCTAAAGCTAGTACAACATCCAGCACACAGATACTTTAATATCTATTAACAGGATAAAATGTAATGAAAGTGGTCAAAAACACAGACTGGAACCAGGTGCCTGGGTGGAAATTCTAGTGCTGCCACTTACTAACTTAAACATTTAACTAACATACATCTCAATTTCTCATGGGATAATAGTGGTACTTATTTCACTGAGATTTTAGGAATATCAACTTAATTTGTATAAAACACTTAGAAAATTCTTTTTTTTAAAAAGAACATTCTTATATAACTGTTAGACATTATCCTCATGCAATCTCTGAAGAACATTTACTGAGGCCTGAAACAATATTAGCATATACCACAGTTAGAAGCAGAATACAAAACAGATAGACAAATGGTCATTTAAAAAAATCATAATTGGTGATGTGTTCAACCTTATTAGACAATTGAGATTAAAAACCCAATCTCAGACTTAAAGTCTTAAATAGATCATTTGTACTTTTCAACAGTGAATCATGGTCAGATTATCACAAATATTATTATATGAATATTTGGTTAAGATAAAGAACATTTTCCTTCCTGCTAAATATCATACAGAATTTCCTATGCAATTTATATGTTAGCGTAATCTCCAATGGCCATAAAAAACTGAAAGCCATCAGAACATTATTTTATGAAAAAATTATTTTGAACTAATTGTAATCCCTTCTTACAATATTCTGCAATTCTCCTAGAATAGCTATTTTGATGCTTTACTGTCACTAAGATTTATATTCATCCCTTAGAATAGCTCTACTGTCTTCCCATCAAAATATGTAAGGAAGGGGTCTACTCAGGAAGTATCAGACACACACACTGAAGGAAAGTCTGGTTTTGTCTAGGGGCAGGACAATGCAATTCAGCTCCTGATAGTCTGAAGATAAAGTCAGCATGAACTAGTGATGTGCTATAGCACAATGTGGGGAGGGTCAAGATACCATGTATAAAAACTGGGCTTCTTTCCCACCAAAAAAGAGAAAGGTGCTGTTCCCATGTTTTTCATTAAGATGGAGTGCCTAGGCCAGGAGTACTACAAAGGATCTGCAGTTAGATAAGTAGGAAGAACACAGGCGGGGGCTATTTCACATAGAGAGAATTTGATATTTCATGCCTTCTTTCATGTGCCCTCCTTCTCTCATTTATTTTAAAAGCAATCTGGCTATCAACCCCTCTATCCATGTAGAAATTAGTAATTTATATATTTAGTCAGCTGGGACCCAAGATCTAAGACTCTGCAGGATTCTCCACCTTCAAACAAGTGAAGCACTTAAGGCTAGCAAATGGGTGGCTTTTGCAAAAGGCCAGACTATTTTACTCAGCAGATTGAGATTATGTAATTCAGATGAGTCTCATAGAAAACATAATACAAATCACAGAAATGTTATCTTGTTTCAAACTCAGAAATAAAACACTCATGGTTACTGAAAACAGAGAAAGTTAGAAAAATTAATCTGATACCATTAAAAATGGTATCACTTAGATACCATTTATTCTACATATTTTAATAAGATCTGTTTCTTGTCCTTAAGTCATTAATACTGATTTCAAAAAAAAGTATTTCTAGTTTTAAAATATTTCCCAAGTAACTGTATGTAAATCTGCCTAAAGCTTTGAAAAAAATTTAATCTACCAAATTTAGTACTTTGAAAGTAAAGTTTACTAATCATAAATGAACACAGCACAACTTCTATTCTGACGATTCCATTCCAGGTGAAAGTTTTGAACTAAGTAGTCTTTGGTTTTGTGAGGGATCCATCGTTATTAATTTGGAGACTTTAAAACACAGTTTGATACTTAGCAATTATTTATTCATAATACTAAAGTTGTCCCCGGTCTAGAAATTTTCATAAACTTGACTTTTTTATATGAGATTTTTAAGGAAAAAAAAAAAAAGGAACAATTGCAACAATTGGTTGTTCATATGCAGAATCCTATCACTCTTCTGGCATTTTATATCACAAGGTCTCAAAGTGTTTTACAAAAACAAGTCATGTTTTACACTTAAGCAACCATGCATGCTCTCAGAAAATTTAAACTGTGTACACAGAGGCTGACTACCTTAAGATCACACACACAAAATTCAGTCACAAGGATCAGCATTTTGTATAGTGCAACTGAACTCTAATTCTATGATGAAGAAAAGTCAGTGTTTAATAGCATTTTTAAGGGTATATGTAAAAAATTTGTTTGAGAGTGGCTTTTCATGGCCTGGGTCATCCTGACCTGGCAACACAAAACAATCCAGCTGGTTTTATGGCTTTTGGCTGTACCGTGTTAAGAGCAGAGCCACTCAGGCAACTCCTTGACATTTTAAAGAAAGCCTAGCACTCTGAAATGGACTGGGGCTGACAGTAAATCAGAGAGAAAATGGCTTGAGTCTCTGTGCTGAGGTGAGCGTGGAGTCATAGAAATATTACCTAATTCAAGGAGAAAAAAGTCTTAGGCTCAGCCTGCAGTTCTGCCTTCCAACACCCTGCAAAGTGGCCAAATGGGTATTTTCAATCAATCCTGGCCAAGCCACAAAATGACAAAACAAAAAACACTAAGAGTAATAAAACCAACTTGAATAATCCAAGGAAAAAATACTCAAGCTAAATTAAAATATATTTCACATGTATTTTATATGAATTTATGAATTTTTATCACAGGGGATAAGAAATATAAAAATAGAAGCAAAAAATGAGACAACCAAATTAGATTATATTTTTTTCTCTTAAAGAAATAAAAGAAAAATGATAATACAATAAGTAGTACAAAGAAGTGGCAAAACACAATAATTAATAATTTAGAAGAACTGAAAAGATTGTCAGAAGCTGGAAAAGACAAAGATTATAGCCAAGACCTGAAAGTCAACGCTACCAAGGAAAAGCAAAGACAGAAATCCCAAGATATGGCTGGATTAAAAAAATCTAGATAATTGTTAAAAAAAAAAAGAAAAAAAACATGTACTTAGATTCACAACTGGAGACCAGCAGAGGTGCCTGAGATAACAGAAAAGACTAAGAATAAGGACAACAAAATGAAAGAAGTGATGTGGGTGAGGGTACATGGAATCAAAGCATGAAAAGTGAACGAGGCTACTGTCTGTTGCCACTCAGGAATAAATCTCAAGAACTCAAAATATCTAACTCTAAAAGCAAAGAGACTGCCAGTGATAAAAATTCAGATGAACAAGTAATTTCTGATGCCAGCTCTTAGAAGAGAAACGGCTGAAGAAGAATCATGCAAAATAAGAATAGGCTAACATCAGCTAAGCAGCTAGTAAAGGTAAATCTCTCTTTGAAAACAAAAGAACACTTAAATCCATAACACTGACCTAAGGGAATTTGTCAACAAAAACCTACAGCTAAATAGATAGATAATTATATATGCAAAATGTATGCAGGCAATAAAACTGTCTTAATTATTGGATTCAATCACTAAATCTCTTTTTTTACCTGTCCATAAGATTTTCTTTTTGCTATAAAAGAGTTTTAAGATACTTATTTCAATAACCATTATAAAAATTCTTGCCCTTCAGCCTTATTCTCATGACAGCCATCACATGACCCCCCCCCCAAACACACCTAGAATATAAAGCTAGTTCAAAGCCCTTACATTTAATTTCTCATTTCCTATTAGTATTAACACCATTTTTTAGTTTTATGGGCCTTCAAGAAGAAAATATAAAACTTTATTACACACGATAGTAAAAACAACTGACTGTTTATTGCTGTTTTAAGGCAGCACTAGGTTTTATATATAATTCAGTAATTTCAAGCACCTCCTTGACCAAAAGCCTCAAAAAGTACACAAAATGTAGGACAAATATGCACAAAATACTCACTTCAACAGTCTCAACTTTTTCCTCATGGGGATGTGGTGTTCTTGGGTAGATATCGAGAAGATGAGGTGGTGAATCAAAATGCAATCTTTTGAGATTTCTTTTATTAAGACCTTTACAATGTAATTCATCAAAGTTAGTCCTCCATAATAAGACCTATAAAAAAAGTCAATGATGTTGGCAGTTATTGACTTGAGTGTACAAGTAATAGAGCTGATTTTAAAAACCACAGTATATAGAATTGTCCCCCAAAGTAGACAGAAAGGCTAGATACATATTTTAACTATGTTACTATTTCTCAATATCTTTTTTTAAGGTGTGGTTGGGGAAAAGATTTAGCATTTTGAATTGCCTTCATATCTGTTTAAAATTCATATTAAGAAATTATCTCTTTATCTTAAAATTCTTTTTGGTCAAAGCTCAAAACCATGTTTTTGCCTTGATCATTCACTTCATTCAATAAATCTGGCCATGAATGACTTTTGGTCATTTCAAATAAATGCAGATTTGCTATACAAATGATTTATATTTCTCATCCTCAAGAAGCTTAAGATTAGGCAATGATTCAAGCAAAAGTGCTATATACTTTCTGAAAGTGGACATGTATTGTAAATTGAGCAAAAGAAAATAACTATTTGAGTTCTCAAAACTTAGAACTGGTTCTGTTTCAGCTATAAGGTAGCAGACTTTATGGTACTAATTAAAATATAAACTCATTGACAATTATCTTAACATATGCAAACTAGCTGGTTGTAAAACTCTTAGCTGAGGTCAAGGATTCCTTTACCTTAACGAAATCAAAGAGGGAGCTGAAAGATTTACAAACCTGTGTGTCTGCACCTCCAGATGCAAACAGCTCTCCACCTTTTGAAAATGAAACAGTAAAGACAGGCCCCTAAAAAATAAAGGGAGATAAAGAAAAAAGTACTTGGTAATGATTTTTCATGGCCAAGAAGACTATGGATATCAATTTCTCATCCTAATTTATGTATACTACTAATGCAGTAAGTCTGATAAAACACATCAGTTGCTAGCAACTAATGCTGACAGAGTAAAGATAATCAAAGAATCAACCCAATCATATTAAAACACAAATAAATGATATTTAAAAGTACCAAAAATTAATCAAAAAAATAACCTTTTCCTTCTTTCAAGAAAAGCTTGTACATGTGTAAGTTAATAAGAATTTCTGTTAAGATTTCTAGCTTTGGACTCTGTATTCAACCAAACACTAGCAAAAACTGAATGGTAACTATGTATAATGGGAATGAGGCTATTTACATAAAGTCCATTTCCTGACCAATGAGCTTCACGGAGTTCTCCCTTCATGTAGGCAACCATAAACTACTAAAAGTTTAAAGAGCAGAACACAGATAAGAGGAGAGCTGTGACTGATTAAATCAGTATCACAATTGTGAGAAGAATGAATTGGAGTAAGATGCTTGGTTGGAGGCCAGTTAGGAAGTTACTGTGATTATCTAGGTAGATGGTAGTGAAAACCTGAAATTGAGGAACTACTGCGGAGCTGGACAAAACTGCGCATGGTACAGTCACAAGATGCATAGCCTCTAGGTCAATTTTTCAGTCCAGGTAAGAGTAAGTATTTCTTATCTCAAACATATTAATATATTCTGGCCAAGCATGGTGGCTCATGCCTGTAATGCCAGCACTTTTGGAGGGTGAGGTGGGTGGATCACCTGAGGTTGGGAGTTTGAGACAAGCCTGACCAACGTGGAGGAAACCCTACCTCTATTAAAAATACAAAATTAGCGGGGCGTGATGGCACATGCCTGTAGTCCCAGCTACTCGGGAGGCTGAGGAGGGAGAATCACTTGAACCTGAGAGGCAGAGGTTGCAGTTAGCCGAGACTGTGCCATTGCACTGCAGCCTGGGTGACAGAGTAAGGCTCTGTCTCAAAAAAAAAAAATTAATATATTCTGTATATTTTTAATATGTCTTTAAATCTACACAAGAAAAGTTTTAGGGAAAAACATCTTGTATCTTTCCAAGCAGACTATCCCACAGATTCAGGTTATAATATTAATAGCTTCATAAACACCTTCACTTCCAGACTAAAATTCCATCTTCATGTAGTATTTTCCTCCTGAAATACTGTGTTTATCTTTTTTTCCCTATTATTTTGTACTTTTTTCATGGATATTTCAATCCTTGGCCACTTTTATTGCTGTGTTTATTCAGCCTAAATCCATGGATATGCATATATTTAAGCTGGTTAGTGTTTATTTCTGCTTTACCCTAACACCACTACAGAATAAATAATAACACAAAGCAGGAAACCAGGCAGCACCTGTGAAAAAGAACTTCTCTTCTAGACTGCAAAGCTCATTCTATTTCTAGATATAAACAGCTTATACTTGTTAAAGGAAGTACCTTAAAAAAAAAGAGGATGCATTCTAAAAAATTCAGAGAAGTCTGAATATTTTCTGGAAGAAAAGAATAGTTTATATACTCAAAAAAATTTAAGTTGGGCACAGTGGCTCACACCTGTAATCTCAGCACTTTAGGAGGCTGAGGCAGGTGGATTACATGAGGTCAGGAGTCCAAAACAAGCCTGGCTAACATGGTAAAACCCTGTCTCTACTAAAAAAAAAAAAAAAAAAAAAAAAAAAAAAAAAAAAAAAAAAAAAAAATTAGCTGGGTGTGGCCGCACACACCTGTACAGGAAGTTGAAACAGAAGAATCACTTGAACCCAGGAGGTAGAGGTTACAGTGAGCCAAGATCATGCCACTGCACTCCAGCCCGGGTGACAGAGTAAGACTCCATTTCAAAAATAAGTAAATAATAAATTTTAAAAATTTATCTATAATGCATTATATGTTGGGGAGGGTATCTTTGAACAGGCTCAATAAAAGGCACCCTTCTTACCTACTTGGTTCTAAACCAATAAAGAAATAAGACAAAGAAATAAGGCACATGAGAACTGAAATATCGTCTTTCTGCCTAATAAAAGCTTGTAAAAAGATAATGTGGCTTTTATGTGTAACACATATAGGCTTTCTAGAACTGATGCCCAGAATGGGTCGTGGGCAAAACTAGACAAGGGCAGGTCTCTCCACAAGGAATAACAGAAAAACAGTGAAGACAGGCTCACTCCCAAAGGCAGGAGAGTAGAAGATGTTAGGCTGTGCTTACCCAATTTTTTCTAAATCCACCAACCAAATTACCAGAAGTGAGAAAGAGCTGTGAGAGTCTGGGTGTCTGGGTGTCAGAGCTAAGTGGTAACCCCCACATGAAGGAAAGATTTGAAGTAAGAAATCTACTTACCCATCACCATTTACCCAGTCAATCTATACAACATACTGATAAAGACATCAGTAGAGGATTCATTTAAGGGCCATTGAAAGATATTCATTGAAAGATATACATTGATTTTGATAAGAATTACAACAAATAATACTTCTAAGAGTTGCTTCCAGAGGATAAAAACAGCTATGGAAGTAAAAAATGTTTATGATAGCAGCAATGTGTAGCTATGTCTGGAAAAATAATAAAGGGGTATAATAAAATGGATAACAATGTAAAGCATATATTATTTTATATTTTTATATATAAAAGCAAGAATCTGAATATTAATACCATATGTCCTTGAAGTGTATAGATGAGCCTTCCTTCTAAGAGGTCCAGAATCTTAAGGGTACCATCTGAAGAAGCTGTGATGAGATAGTTACCCGAAGGATGGAATGATATGCAATTAACTCCACCGCTGTGAACTGATTTGTAGAAAATACAAGCAAAAAATTCAAAGAACAATTCTTACTTTTAAAGACACCCCAGTTCCTTATTAGCAATATTAGGTTGCACACAAGAGCACTGTTTCCACAGCAACAAAATTCTACATAGCTCACTAAAACGAGTATTTTGGCATCATACAGCATTAAGCTTCTAGTGAGAGCCAGAATAACTTTAAAAATGAGGCTGTGTCATGGGAAGGTAATCTTTTTTTTTTTTTTTTTTTTTTTAGACAGACTTTTGCTCTTGTTACCCATGCTGGAGAGTGCAATGGCGCGATCTCGGCTCACCGCAACATCCGCCTCCTGGGTTCAGGCAATTCTCCTGCCTCAGCCTCCTGAGTAGCTGGGATTACAGGCACGCGCCACCATGCCCAGCTAATTTTTTGTATTTTCAGTAGAGATGGGGTTTCAACATGTCAACCAGGATGGTCTCGATCTTTTGAACTCATGATCCACCCGCCTCGGCCTCCCAGAGTGCTGGGATTACAGGCTTGAGCCACCGTGCCTGGCCCGGAAAGGTAACCTTATTGACCACATTACTATAAAGTCTTTGGATATATTTCCAATAAAACCAATAGTTAATTATTACCAGCTCAGATAGGGTATATAAACTAGCCTCAAATTAAAGGTAATAACCAATTAGTGGCTTGGGATTAAAGGAAGAAGAGTCTGGAGACATGTTTGAAAAGGGCACAGTCCTGCTATCAGGCTTGACAATTTGTTTCCAGACAGCATCCTTCCAACAGGAGGCAGTATAACACAATGATTAAAAGTTAATTTTTATTTTATTTTATTTTATTTTTTTTAATTGCATTTTAGGTTTTGGGGTACATGCAAAGAACATGCAAGATAGTTGCATAGGTACACACGGGGCAGTGTGATTTGCTGCCTTCCTCCCCTTCACCTATATCTGGCATTTCTCCCCATGCTATCTCTCCCCAACTCCCCACCCCCTGCTGTCCCTCCCCTATTCCCCCCAACAGACCCTAGGGTGTAGTGCTCCCCTCTCTGTGTTCATGTGTTCTCATTGTTCAACACCCACCTATGAGTGAGAACATGCGCTATTTCATTTTCTGTTCTTGTGTCAGTTTGCTGAGAATGATGTTCTCCAGGTTTTTCTATGCACTTTGTAAGCAGGAAGACCTAAGTAGTTCTATTGATTATTTGAGCAAGTTACTTACCCTATTTAAATCTCAATTTCCTTATCTTCAAAATGTGAATAATAATGATATCTCTTAGGAATATTGTGAAGATATGGCACAGTGTCTGCTACATGGTAAACCCTGGATATGCTACTATGTGTAATAATAATTTGGATTTAATATAACTCAAATATAAACCAAGAAAATTCATGTCTCTTTTAGTTCAATACATAGGCATAGTAGGTAGTTGTTTTCTATCAATTATAACACCTATTTGTGCTCACATAACTCCCTGTGATTCAGGATTCAGAGTCATTTCTATTCCTGACTTCTCACACAACGCTGATAACCAGAGTTTAAAAATCTTATAGCAACTTCTTTTTCTTTTTTAGCCCTCACAACATTTTTAAGGTCTCTTCACTTCCTGCTTTCCTTGAGCTTCTGAGACCCTGTTGTTGAGGAGAGCTAATTATACTATTCTCTAACATGTTCCAAGGCAGCCCATGACCCCAAGTAAGAGAGACAAACCATACCAACAAGGAGAATCAGTCCTTCCCAGAGGAGTTTATTCAGTAACTGAATTTTTTGTTAGGAAAACTGTTACCTTGATAATGCTGTAGTAATTTGTTCACTCTTATGTCCCAGACTTTCACAGTTTGATCAGAACCTGCTGAAGCTATGCATGTACCACTAGGGTTAAAGTCCACAAAATTTGCAAATCTAGGAGGAAAGAATAAGATAACCTAATATTTTAATTTCTTTCTTTCTTTTTTTTTCTTTTTTTGAGATGGAGTCTCATTCTTGTCATTCAGGCTGGAGTGCAGTGGCGTTATGGGCTTACCACAACCTCTACCTCCCAGGTTCAAGTGATTCTCCCACCACAGCCTCCTGAGTAGCTGGGATTATAGATGTGCACAACCATGCTTGGCTAATTTTTGTATTTTTAGTGGAGACATTGTTTCGTCATGTTGGCCAGGTTGGTCTCGAACTCCTAACCTCAGGTGATCTGCCGATCTTGGACTTCCAAAGTGCTGGGATTACAGGAGTAAGCCACCAAACCCGGCCATATTTCAATTTCTTTGCTCTCAATTACTTATTAATTTTTAATTTTATTTTGAGACAGAATCTCACTGTCACCCAGGCTGGAGTGCAGTGGCACAATCTTGGCTCACTGAAACCTCTGCCTCTTGGGTTCAAGCGATTCTCCTGCCTCAGCCTCCCGAGTAGCTGGGACTACAGGCATGTGCCACCAAACACAGCTAATTTTTTGTACTTTTAGTAGAGACGGGGTTTCACCATGTTAGTGAGGATGGTCTCAATCTCCTGACCTCGTGATCTGCCCGCCTCAGTCTCTCAAAGTGCTGTGATTACAGGCATAAGCCACCATGCCCGGGACCCATTTCTTTATTTAAATTGTTATAATCAAATGTCTCCTTGGCAAACTAACCCACAGAAATGCACAGAGTGTACTTACCCAATGAAATCTGAGAAGTTATTAACACATTGCTTATTTGTGGTATCCCAAATTTTAATAGTTTTATCCTCACTACATGATACAATTAGTCTTCCATCAGGTGAAAATCTAGAAAGAAGAAAGATGTTATATGTGGAAGGCTCTGGAAAGTCACCACCTCACCTCTACACCACAAATATATCAGGCTGTAAATATTAAATACCAGAGACCGACCACTGTTACCATCCCATGCAGTAAAGTCACAGTCTGCAGCCAAGATCTTCATCATGACAAACAACACTGACAGACCATTAAAACATCAAAATATGCTATGTAAACTACACAAGTTTCTTTTTCCTTTTATTCTTTCATTAAAATAATTTCAGTTTTATAGCATCTGCTTTAGGGTTTTGATTCAATTCTGTACCCACTCTAAGCCAAGTGCCTTGTATTTTTTTAAAAACTCTTTTCTATTTCTGTCACTTGCCAGAGTTATCCATATGATCCAAGAGAGAGCCTTTATTACTTATCCTACCAAGCCTGCAGTGAAACTTTTTGTAAGAAAGGAATGGTGTGTTGAGAATTAAAACTAAGTGGCATTACCAACAAAAGAACCTAACTGCCCATGCTTGTAACTTCTGGACTTGGGGAGGCCAGAGAGCTCCAATGGACTGAAAATAGGACAACTCATTTATACAGAACAGAAGTTCCTTCATGGTCAACCCTATCATCCACACACCCCATTAAAAAGCAAATGAGAAAAATCTCAGACATCTTGTCTGCTACTTTAATGCTGTCTATTCCTTTAAGATCCTTCCCAAGGTACTTTTTAAAATTTTTTGGACATGATATCTTTTAAATATAAATAGGAGAGCAGAAGACCACAGAGAAAATGAAAACAAATTTTAGACTACTAGAAAACTATGAGTAGTATTTTTATTATTAATATTTTATCAGTAACAAAAACCAAAAAGACAGATTTTAGGTCACAGATTATGTTTCAATTTTATTTGTAGTTTCCCTCTATGCCCAGAGTCAAGCTTACTGTAAGTCATCAATTAAGGGTGTGGGATATACTTGAAGATTTTTCTTTTGGTTCTCTCCCTACTCCCATTCTTAAGGCTGACCTAAAATTAATTTTTTGTGACAGAAACTTTGCAACTGGAGTTCACAGATTCACACAGAAAAAAGACACACAGAAGCATAATTAAGTTCCATGTAAAATAATATTTAAAAATTCAAGAAGATCCGACATGGTAGCTCATGCCCAGAATCCCAGCGCTTTGGGAGGCTGAGGCGGGTGGATCACCTGAAGTCAGGAGTTTGAGACCAGCCTGGCCAACATGGTGAAACCCCGTCTCTACTAAAATAGCCGGGCGTGGTGGCAGGTGCATGTAATCCCAGCTACACGGGAGGCTGAGGCAGGAAAATTGCTTGAACCCAGAAGGCAAAGGTTGGAATGAGCAGAGATTGTGCCACTGCACTCCAGCCTGGGTGACAGAGCGACACTGTCTCAGGAAAAAAAAAAAAAGTCAAGGAAACAATGTTTCAAGGAAAAATAGTCCTTGCTGGGTAGTTTACCCTGATTTTATAGTAAGTAATAATTTATTAATATTTTCTTTTAGAAAATGTGAGAAAGACTCGAATATGAAGGGCAGTATTATAAAAAGGCTCCAAACAGAGGAAGCTCATTGTATACAGACTCTGGGGAAAAAAACTTACTCAGTATCCCCACGGATAAACTTGGCACAATAATGGCAAAAAAAACTATCCAGGCATGGTGGCTCATGCCTGTAATCTCAGGATTGGGAAAACAAGGTGGGCGGATCATCTGAGGTCAGGAGTTGAGACCAGCCTGGCCAACATGGTGAAATCCTGTGTCTACTAAAAAATACAAAATTTCACAGGGCTTGGTGGCAGGCATCTGTAATCCCAGCTACTCAGGAAGCTGAGGCAGGAGAACTGCTCGAACCTGGGAGTCAGAGGTTGCAGTGAGCTGAGATCATGACACTGCACTCCAGCCTACGTGACAGAGTGAGACTCTATCTCAAAAAAAAAAAAAAAGTTATAAAAAACTAATGCAAGGAATCAAATTGTGTTACTAAGCCTCTTTTTAAAAAAATATTACTTAATATGACTGTGTTAAGTGACCAGAGTATTTCTATGAGAAGACTTAACTCTTACATTTCAAGAAAGCAATTATGGAGAAAAATATTTAATAAAATGAAATACTTAGAAAATAACAAAGTATAAAAATATCCTACGACATCAGCCAAATACCACCTCCACCATCACATCATTATCCTACTCACATTCCTTGAACACACATGTCCTAGAATGGTTCTTAATACATCTTATTTAATTTCCAGCATAACCCAGCAAAACAAAGCAGTAGCTTGTCTCAATATACAGTGAAGAAACAGAGGCACATAAAGGATAAGTAACTGCCAACATTATCATGTCAGTGGGGAAAGGGGTCTAGATTTGAATCATGCAATCTTTCCACAGCCAAATCTCTGAACCACTTTGCTTAAGTCTCTGACAAAAAGGAAAGTGTCTACTACTGGCCCAAATTACTTAGAGCACTGGAAGTTCTGTGTGGCTTCTGTGTAAACAACAGAAGGTTCTAAAGTGGAGAGGAAACATGAGGCAGTGCTGTTAGGAGGCTATATACTGTCCTTGAACAAAAATCTCTGTGTGTAGCCATAAGCTATAGGTAAAACGGGCACAATCCCTGTCCTTGAGGAGTTTAGAGGAAAGATTTTAACCCACTGATTCATTCAAAGATTCCCTGAGCACTTGCCAATACCTCGTACTAGGCACTGCCATGGGTAGCAGGAATACAGCTTCGAATGAGACTGGCAAGATCCCTGCCCTCATGAGGCTTTTGTTCTAGGGAGGAGGGAAGGCACACAAAAAACCTAATTTTAGAAAGTGATATGAAAAAGGGTTGTAACAGAACAAGTGCCAATTTGTCACTCGACGCTCCACAGAGGAAACAGGATTTTAAAGCAACTTGCAAATGAGGAAAAGTGTTATCTTGGTCAGCTATAATTGCCTCTTGAGCAGGAGGGTCCATAGCTGGGAGAAATTTCCCAGAGGAAAATTAATGAGTGAATACCTCACTCGAATGAGTGAGGGTACAGGCGGTAGCTGGGAAGAACCTGGTGACAGAAGGAGGTGCGGTTTCTACCATCAACTTAACAGAAACTAAGGGGACTGCGGTTAAGGCCTTGCCCCTGCTCTGGTCACTGCATTATAACCCTGCATATGCTCTCTGTATGTGTTTTTTGCATTTGGGGTGGCTGAAAGTGAGAATGATGATTTCTATTTCCTTCTCCTCCCTTTTAGTTTTAATTAGATACATCAAAAATAGGTTAGCAACAAACAGGCTTCTCTTTGCTCTGGCTTTGATTAGGAAAGGTTAGTCCTTTATTGTCAGGTCTCAAGTAACATCTAATTAGACTCTTAAGAATTTAAAGAGGATATAAAATTTCTACTAAGACATTAATAGATTTCTGACTCAATTTAGTACTACCCAACCACCTTTAAAAACTTCTAGGAAGTGTGTCACCAAGATGGGTATTATATTAGTCAATAGTGACTACTGGATTAGCAAACATGGACATTTGAGAGTTTGAGAGGCAAGAGAAGTTAAATGAACTACTACTGAATTCTTTAAACTTAACTGGTCATTCAAAAAAATGAGGAAATTATTTTTCTTTTTTTTCCTTTTCTTTTTTTTTTTGAGACAGGGTCTCACTTTGTCATTCAGGCAGGAATGCAGTGGCGTGATCTCGGCTCATTTCAGCCTCAATCTCCAGGGCTCAGGTGATCATCCCTCCTTAGTCTCCCAAGTAGCTGGATAGACAGATAGATAGTACTTTCATAAAAATTCAAATTTTCCTTTGGCTATTTCTTATCTTCAGAATACATTTTCTATAAAAACACATTCCCAGGACTCAGGGCTCTGGGACCAAACAGAGCAGGCACTATTTCATGTCCCATAAGACACAAATCATTAGTAAGAGAAACTCTGAAGCCAGCAGCCCTTCAGTAGGAACAGGAAGCAGTAAAAAGTAGTGGAAATAAGACTGCTCAGTAAGTATTGAGTCCTGAATTCTAGGGCCAATTCTGCAACTGTCCAGCTATTTAATCTTGTAAACTCACAACTATAATGACCACCATTTCCTATTTGTATAATAAAGGAGTCTGGATTGAATCAGCCCTAAAATTTTCACAGACTCATTAAAACTTGGCAGTCTCAGAGTTTGCTTTGATGGAATTTGATGTTTACAGGTTGAAGGTGAAGTTCAAGTCAATAAGCAAAACATTTACTTTTTTTAAGTGTTGGTCAGCACTAGAAAAGAAACCATCTGTTGACTACAGTAGCAGGATTCATTTCTGCAACTGCTAAGAGACAAAAAGCAGATGAAAAAATATAAAAGGATCAAGTATGCCATGAAAATTATTTGTTGGGGAATTTCCCTCTATGTGCTCAGTCAGACTTTGTTCCTGGAATCTCCACCCATGAGTGCAACTGCTTGCTGGGCACCTCCTCTTGAATATCTTGCAGGAACCTCCAGCTTTGAACTTGTCCAAATGAACTCACCCTCTTCCTCCCAAAGAGGAAGGTTCTCTTCTTCTCCTTCTCTTTCTCCAGTGTTCTCTTTCTCAGTAAATGGTTTCTCAAGCCAGAAACTCAGGGGTCTGACTTGATTCCTCTTTCTCTTCTACTTCCCTGTTCCAATCCATTATTGGGTCCTGTCTCCTAAAACCATAATTGGCCCTGCTGTCTTCCACTATCCACAAGCAACAAAAGTGATCTTTAAGTCTCAAATCAAATTGGATCATCTTTCTGCCTAAAACCCTTTGGTGGTTTCACATTTCCTTTGGGGAGAAGTGTGACATGTTCACCACTGCTCATAGCCCTCTAGGACCCATCCTCCTGCCTCTTCATTTTCATCACCCTCTTCTTCCTTACATTCTCTTAGGTTCCCTGCTCTTGTTCAGGTGTTTCCTCACATGCTGTTCACTGTGCCTCAAACATTGCCCAATAGTTTTTACCTAGTTTAAAATCAATAAAAGGATTTCACACATCCCTCAAGCTCTCTGCTTCAGTGTCACTT